TTTAACTAGAAATCAATAATAGAAAGATATCTGGAAAATCCTCAGATATATAAAATCAAGCAACACATTTCTAAATAGACCACTGGTCAAGAAGGAAGTCTGAAAGGAAGCTATAATAATATTTTTAACTAAATGAAAATAAAAATACATTTCAAAATTTGTAGAATACAACAAAAGCAGTGCTTAAAGGACCTGACAGTCTACTTCTGAAAAGAATTAGCCAGTGAAAACCTTACAAACAGCAGTGGAACACTGTCTGATATAGTGCCAGAAGATGAGCCCCCCTCAGGTTGGAAGGCACTCAAAAGACGACTAGAGAAGAGCTGCCTCCTCAATGTAGAGTCAACCTTAATGAAGTGGATGGAGTCAAGCTTTTGGGACCTTCATTTGCTGATGTGGCACGATTCAAATGAGAAAAAACAGCTGCAAACATCTATTAATAATCAGAATGTGGAATGTACGAAGTATAAATCTAGGAAAATTGGAAGCTGTCAAAAATGAAATGTAACACATAAACATTGATATCCTAGGCATTAGTGAGATGAAATGGACTTGAACTGACCATTCTGAATTGGACAACATATGATCTACTATGCCGGGAATGACAAATTGAAGAGAAATGGTGTCGCATTCATCGTCAAAAAGAACAATTTCAAAATCTATCCTGAAGTACAACGCTGTCAGTGATAGGGTAATATCCATACGCCTACAAGGAAGACCAGTTAATACGAGTATCATTCAAATTTATGCACCAACCACTAAGACCAAAGAAGAAATTGAAGATTTTTACCAACTTCTGCAGTCTGAAACTGATCGAATGTGCAAACAAGACGCATTGATAATCACTGGTGATTGCAATGCAAAAGCTGAAAACAAAGAAAGAGGATCAGTAGTTGGAAAATATGGCGTTGGTGACAGAGACTGCTTAATAGAATTTTGCAAGACCAACAACTTCTTTAAAAATACCTTTTTTCAACAACAAAACGGCGACTATACACATGGACCTCACCAGATGGAATACACAGGAATCAAGTCCACTACATCTGTGGAAAGAGATTATGGAATAGCTCAGTATCATCAGTCAGAACAAGGCCAGAGGCTGGCAACAGAACAGACCATCAGTTGCTCATATGCAAGGTCAGGTTGAAGCTGAAGAAAATTAGAACAAGTTCACGAGAGCCAAAGTACAACCTTGAGTATATCCTACCTGAATTTAGAGACTATCTCAAGAATAGATTTGATGCATTGAACACTAACGACCAAAGACAGGACAAGTTGTGGAATGACATCAAGCACATCATACATTTAGAAAGCAAGAGGTCATTAAAAAGACAGGAAGGAAAGAAAAGACCAAAAAGGATGTCAAAAGAGACTCTGAAACTTGAACATCAAGTAGCTAAAGCTAACGGAAGAAATGAAGTAAAACAGCTGAACAGAAGATTTCAAAGGGTGGCTCGAGAAGATACAGTATTATAAAGACATGTGCACAGACCTGGAGTTAGGAAACCAAAAGGGAAGAACATGCTTGGCATTTCTCAAGCTGAAAGAACAAAAGGAAAAATTCAAGCCTCGAGTTGCAATACTGAAGGATTCTATGGGCAAAATACTGAACGACACAGGAAGCATCAAAAGAAGATAGAAGGAATAAGCAGTCACTGTACCAAAAAGAACTTGTCAACATTCAGTCACTTCAGAAGGCAGAATATGATCAAGAACTGATGGTAGTAAAGGAAGACATTCAAACTGCACTGAAGAAACTGGAGAAAAAGAAGGCTCCAGGAATTGATGAAATATCAATTGATATGTTTCAACAAATGGATGCAGCACTGGAAGTGCTCACTCGTCTATGCCAAGAAATTTGGAAGACAGCTTACCTGGCCAACCGACTGAAGAGATCCACAGTTATGCCTATTCCGAAGAAAGGTGATCCAACCCAATGCAGAAATTATTGAACAATATCATTAACATCACATGCAAGTAAAATTTCACTGAAGATCATTCAAAAGCGGCTGCAGCAGTACATCAACAGGAAACTCCAGATATTCAAGCTGGATTCAGAAGAGGACATGGAACGAGGGATATCACTGCTGATGTCAGATGGATGCTAGCTGAAAGCAGAGAATACCAGAAAGATGTCTACCTGTGTTTTATCGACTATGCACAAGTACTTGACTGTGTGGATCATAACAAATTATGGATAACATTGCGAAGAATGGGAATTCCAGAACGCTTAGCTGTGTTCATGAGGAACCTGTACATAGATCAAGAGGCAGTCATTCGAACAGAACAAGAGGATACTGCATGGTTTAAAGTTAGAAAAGGTTTGTGTCAGGGTTGTATCCTTTCACCATACTTATTCGATTTGTATGCTGAGCAAATAATCCAAGAAGCTGGACTATACGAAGAATGGGCCATCAGAATTGGAGGAAGAGTCACTGACAACCTGCAATATGCAGATGACACAACCTTGCTTGCTGAAAGTGAAGAGGACTTGAAGCACTTGCTGATGAAAATAAGACTACAGCTTTCAGTATGGGTTACACCTCAACATAAAGAAAACAAAAATCCTCACAACTGAATCAATAAGCAACATCATGATAAATGGAGAAAAGATTAAAGCTGTCAAGAATTTCATTTCACTTGGATCCACGACCAACGCCCATGGAAGTAGCAGTCAAGAAATCAAACAACACATTGCATTGGGCAAATCTACTGCCAAAGACCTCTTTAAACTGTTAAAAAGCAAAGATGCCACTTTAAGAACTAAGTTGTGCCTGACTCAAGCCATGGTGTTTTCAATCATATTATATGCATACGGAAGCTGGACAATGAATAAGGAAGACAGAAGAATAATTGATGCCTTTGAATTATGGTGTTGGCAAAGAATACTGAATACACCATGGACTGTCAAAAGAACAAACAATCTGTTTTGGAAGAAGTACAGCCAGAGTGCTCCCCTGAAGCAAGGACGGTGAGACTTTGTCTCACATACTTGGACATGTTATCAGGAGGAACCAGTCCCTGGAGAAGGCCATCATACTTAGTAAAATAGAGGGTCAGTGAAAAAGAGGAAGACCTTCAACAAGATGGACTGACACAGTGGCTGCAACAATGGGCTCAAGCATAGCAATTGTGAGGATGGTGCATAACCGGGCAGTGTTTTGTTCTGTTGTACACAGGGTCGGTGAGTTGAAACTCACTTGGTGGTACCTAACAACAACTAGGAGGGTCCAGAGGACACTTCTTTCACCAAGCCTGTGTAATATATATTCATGAGGGGAGCCCCCACATCCTTAAAAATCTGTGGTAGCTGTTCTCTGCAGCCAGGAATAGAGAGGGAACTGCTGCAATCAAACTGGGCTCCCTGAATTCAATGGTGAGAGTGCCAACGTGGCAAGGGCCAAGTGGCAACCTTTAATTGCCAAGGACAAGGCTGATGTGGTTACCATAATTAATGAGCTTAAAAGTCTTAATACCTTTTATTTTCCACTTTAAGCTTTAGCAACTTTGGTTTTAATAAGGAAAGAAAATTCCAAAAAAAAAACCCACTGCTGTTGAGTCGATTTTGACTCACAGTGACCCTACAGGACAAAGCAGAACTGTCCCATAGAGTTTCCAAGGAGTGGCTGGTGGATTCAAAATGTTAACTTTTTTTTGGTTAGCAGCCAAGCTCTTAACCACTGCACACCAGGGCTCCTTCTAGCTATCAATTCTCTGAAATAAAGAACCTATGGCAAATATTCTCTGAAGGTAAAATAACTCTCAAACCAGCTGCTCCACAGGAGAAAGATATGGCCATCTGCTTCCACAAAGATTACAGCCTTAGTAGCCCTATGGGACAGTTCTACTCTGTCCTACAGGGTTGCTATGAGTTGGAATCGACTTGATGGCAATGGATTTGGCTTGGTTTTGGTTTGAGATTAAATATATAGTTACTTGTACAAATAAGAACAGATAAAGTTAAAAGGGAGAAAGTATAGTACTTTAATCTCCAAATGCTCAGACAATGTAGATACAGCATAACGATAAAAAATGGGGGATAGGGGAGATGGGAAGAACAGCTGCAAAAAACACATTTATCAACAATTATATTGATAGAAGTAGTATTAGCATTGTTATTCTAAGACTGATGTGTGTGTGAGATAAAGTAAATGATTAATAACGGTACGTTCTGATTCTACTGTTATGTGTCTTTGAAAAACAAGATTCTAGGAGATAAGGATGTAATAATGAATGAAGGGAATAAATTACTAAGAAAAAAAAAAGAAAACCTGTAGCCATGATTTTGAATTCTATCAGTATGAACTCATGAAATGTTTCATTATATGTAATACTAAACTCAGTAGCAATGAGCAATTCCAAGCACCCAGATCTGAGAAATAAGGAGAAATGGCTAATCTTTGGTATGGAATAGAAAATGCAAGAAGATGACCCTAGAACATCTTGTCATAGAAAACAGTGAAGAAATGATCAAAGACTACAATGGTCAAGTTAAAAGGACTTCACAACCAAAGACATGACAATTTAAGCTTCAGCTTGTTTAATAATTATAATAGACTGAAACCATTAAATATACTTAATTTCAGGAGTTCACAATGAAATAAAATTAATTTATTGGTGACCTCCAAAGGATGATAGGGAACCAACTCATTATCTTGAAAACTGGTAAATAAGTACATATTCTGCTTTTTCTGTATGAATTAAATCTTTGGGTAACCAAATACTAGAGAAGGAAAAGTGTTTTTTTATAAAAACTCTCAATTAAATGAAAAGAAATAATAAAATCAGAATATCACCCTTTTGTAAGCTCCAATGAATTCATGGATCCTTGATGAAAGAACACAATATTACCCACAGTCTTGCCAATGAGATCAAAGCTGACTCTGATCAAGCCTCTGGATCCTGCCAACAATTTAAAAAATACAGAGAACAGAAAAATATGCAAAACAGCGAACACTTAGAACTTCCGTAGTAAAAATAAATCACGCTTTCAAAAAATGTTCAATACATATAATTGACAAAGTTTATTATCAAGAAATGTGACTTGAGTAGTAAATTTTTAAAAAGACTGTTCTGGTTTTAAACACTAAAAGATGACAATGCACGACAGAACGTATACAAGCAAGGATAATGAAAATCTTCAATGCTATTAAAAGACCATAATTCAAACTTCTAATTATAATCTTTGTGCCTTAGTAGAAGCAGCTGTACAGTTCCACTTCATAAAATTCATCCCCCTTCTCAAGAAGACCAAGGAGCCTTACGATAAACTCCATCATATAATTTACAGTAATCAATGTTGGTTTTTTTATACTTAAGCATGCACTATCACAGAAAGCATAAAATCCTATTTACAGGGATTTTTAGTTTCTTAAAAATGTATCAACCATCTTTTAAAGTGCGAGCTACAGATATGTTGTATCCTTAAAGAAAAAAGGCTTCTAAAAGAAGAATGAGACAGCATCCCAATACTGCCAGGAGTGGTTATATAACTAACCGAAGGAAACAGGCAGTACTCCGCTGTTTTAGTGTAGCAACCTACTTTTTTGTAGTTGAGTTCTTAGTTTTTATTATACTACCAGCCGAACATGTACTCCATTGCTTTTGATACAAGACTTTCATCTTTTTTTGGTGTTTGTCTGTCAGAAATAACCTATTAAAAAACACACATAAACAAAAAAATTGTTAGGTTATGGTTACTTCATTGTCATAGTTCTAGAGCTAACAGCTAATTTAAAAGAGTCAAACAACAAAATGCACTTATAGCACTGAATTGTATGCTTAAAAGATTAAAATAATAGTTTCAGAACCACTCTACTCTTTTAAGAGTGACAAAATCTCATTCCTCTGGCAAGCAAATTACTCCTGCTCCTTAAATTAGGAAACCAAAGAAACAAAAACACAAAGCCTGTCAGAGATGAGGGTTTTAAAATATTGGTTTAAAAGAAAAAAAAAAGCTCTAGAATGATCTCCAAATTTCAGGGGAAATCAAAAGACTAAAGTGTCACTACCTGTCCTAATAAAGCACAGTGTTTATTTCCTGTGTTTCAGGTCCTGTGTCAACAGCCGGGCAAGTTCAGAACTCCTGGCTAATTAAGTAGGGGGCAATAATATACTGAATGACACTCACAATACTTCTACTATTCTTCAGGGAATGTAATGAGCTTCTCCCTTAAACTTTTTTGACATAAGAAATTGTCCTCTCTGAATAATGGGAGCCAGTACACGTCTTCTTTTGATAACCAAATGTGCACTCCAACCTGAGGCTCTCCATTTGTGGTATCATCAGATTTAGTTATCAACTTACAGGGTTTTGTCCCCTCATGCCAGAAATGTTCACAAGACAAACTTTTGATGTATGCAAATATAACTTAGAAAAAACTAGAGTAACACACTCTCAAAATGTTTTTTAAAAAACAGCAAAGGATTTTTTTTAATTCCAGGTAACTTTCCAATTGACCAAATTCTAATTTTAAAACAGTAAATTCAAGAATGTAAAGTTAAAAGATTTCATCAAAGCAATCACCTCAAAAGGAAATATTCAATGGCATACAAATTAATTCAATGAAAAAGACTTATACTATGCACTTCAGTTCTTTAAAGTACATTTTTTTAATCCAATCCTTGAAAATACCTGATAGTCACTAGTAGAAGCTTTATATGCTGTAGCAAGAGGTCTCATGGTAGAAATCCTAGGAGTACTTCCAGGTTGGGTTGGTGTACCTAAGGTTTTGATTGGTGGTGTAAAGGCTAGAGATGGAGATGATAAAGCACATCTGTCACTGTTTTCCATAACACTCTGGAGAAACAAAGATAAACAACCTCTCTGTTTATAAACATAATACATACTATCCAATATTATATCCTACTTACAATGAAAATTTTATTAGAAGAGGTAAAATGGGACATAATTGGTCTTTCAAATAATTTTAGGCTTGAGAAAACAATACACATTAGCTAGCATTTGAGATCTAACACTCAGAGATCACGCTTCAGCAGCCTCAAGTACCCTCGATGCAATATGGACCCACAAGGGTAAGAACCTCCAAATACTTTATGGAAAAATCAGCAAGGAAAAAAAAAAAGAATTACTAGGGGAGAGAGGGATAAACATCTGAGTCTGACACTATTTAGTTCCCAGTAACTCCAAATACAAGGAGTCCTGCTTCTGCAAACATCTTTTACAGCATAATATAATAATTACACAATTACACAGCTAAAGTAACAGATAATAAAAACAGGAACCATGTCTGCTTTGCTCATTAACGTGTGCATCAGCACAAAACAGTGCCTCGTATACAGTATAAGTTCACGTATATTTATTCAAAGAATGTTCATGGTGATTTTACAAGCCACAAACAAATGTTTAAATTCAGTTTAGTATTGTGAAGTATACGAATATACAGTAATTTTTAAGTATGTTAAAATCAAAATGTTCAGCCATTTAAACGTTAACCACTGGTTACCACTGATGTGAAATATGTCATCTTGAAATAGCACTATCTCTTTAAAGTACTTAAAGAATATGATTTTGTCTTGCACAAGTAACAGAAATGGGTTAGAAGCCAAGTCGCCTAGAATCCAGACCTCACCTTTAACAACTCTGGACAAGTTAAATAAGCCCTTTTTGGCCTCTATTCCTTTATCTGTGAAATGAAGACGTTGGACTACACTATCTCTCAATTCTAAATTCCTGTGATTATGTATCTTTGGCTTACCATTAACAAGTATACTATAAACATCGACATACTTTACAAACTAAGAAAAAGAGGCACAGTGAAGCAAAGTGACATAACCACCAATGTTAATACCTTTAACTGCTATGTATCATTTAAAACTTTGTAAACTTCTATTATATATTAAATTATACAGTCGTATCTTTATACACTGAGCACCAACTGAAAATTCTGAAATTTAGTTCCTTATAAATGATCAAAATAAAGTGTTTTATCCCTTAGAGGAGAATGCTTCGGTTCCTGCAATTAAACTTACATAAAGGGTTACTAAAACATAAAAGCACCAAAAAGTAAATAATTGGGAAAGTAGTATGATTTAAAAATGAAAAAAGAGACTAGCAGAAATATTTCAAGTAATTTATCTAATTACTCATGCAATCTTGAAAGTGACACCATTAATACAGAGCCTGAAAAATAGACTTGGGAGTGGACATCCAAGTTCAAGAGTCCGTGCTCTTCATATAGATGAAGCTATTTCCCTCGTATCAGCAGCGACTTACTTTATCTATACATGGTTTTACGCCAATCATGATGGACTCTCCAAAAATCCTACCATCTTTACTTAAGGCTTTCCGGGCTTGCAGTTTAGATTGATAACGAATATGCATCCAATTTCCTGTGTTAGACATCTGCAAAGAATGAAGTTGTCTCTTAAAATATATAAAAGTTAAACATAATGAATTTCATTAGAAAATAGATGTGACAGTAAATCTACTTCTACCTTTTATTTGGTGTCCTGTAACAAGATGTATTCTAAAGTTCAACAAAACTCCTATATAAACAGTTTCAATAATCTCTTTCTTGCTATCAAAAAAAAACAAACCATTGTCATCAAGTTGACTTCAGCTCATAGTGACCCTATAGGACAAAGCAGAACAGCCCCATAGAGTTTCCAAGAAGTGGCTAGTGGATTCAAAATGTTAACCTTTTTTTGGTTAGCAGCCAAGCTCTTAACCACTGCACACCACTAGCTATCAATTCTCTGAAATAACATATGGCAAATATTCTCTGAAGGTAAAATAACTCTCAAAACATAATTGTTTCTTGTAAAAAGATTATATCAACACTTGCCATGAAGGTTTTGTAAACTGTATTCATCAATATAATTTTGTGTAAGAGGTAAGTAAAACAATCTCTAGTAATAGAAAAGAGTTTTGTTATTTATAACTTATTATGCAAGGTAAGTTAATCTTTTTCAAAAGTCCTCCATAAGTTAAAAAAGTCCAAAAAACTCTGCAAGCTGAGGAACTTCCCCCTTTTCCTTTATCCCCAATAAAACAAGCTCAAATCAGAAAACAGTAATATAACATTTGGTGTAATCTACCTTTTTTTTTAAGAAACTTAACTGTTTAGGGAAAAAAGGGGCAGTGATACTGAAACTCTCAACTCTCTTCCTTATCTTGTGTCTTTATCCCTTTTTTATCAAACACTATGCAACTTGCAGCCTTTCAACTACAAAGAATATATTCTATCAACACTTAAAAAGAGGAAAAAAAACCCTACAAACTTTTAAATTTGAAAAAAAAAAAAAAACAAACAAAAACTAAGAAGCAAAGTTTCCCTAATTCACAGCTTATCTTTCCTCAGCCTAATTCCTAAATTGAATAAAAATTAAGCCTTACCACATGTTTTAAGATATTCCCATATTGTGCAAATTGCAATAGTATATAGGAAGCAGATGCCTGAGGAAACCTGAAAAAAGAGTTGTCCAAACAAAACAATCAGCTTCCACAACACATACAAATGCAAATTACTACACTTAACAAGTGTTTCAAGATAAATTCCCCCCTAACTGTCCAGAACATTAATAGGTGATCCCTGACCATCCTGTTTCCCCTAAACCAGCTAACTCTTATCACTGTCCAGTTAATTACCCAAAAGCAAGTACCTTAAAATTAGTTCTCATTCAGCTATTCTTCTCCATCCCTAGATTCCATCTCTGAAATCCCTAAAGTTCCACTCTCATTGCCAATCACAGCCGTTAGGAAAACTATGAAGTTGCACTTTTACACACAGTTTTACAGGTGTGTGTGTGCGCGTGTGCGTAATCTTAAATAATTATTACACTGTTATTAAAAGAGAAAAAAATCAAATTATAGTCATATCTTTATACATTGAGTACCACCTGAAAATTCTGAAATTTAGTTCCCTGTAAATGATCAAATGCGGGAGAAAGATGTGGCAGTCTTCTTCCTTAAGATTTACAGCCTTGGAAACCCTATGGGGCAGTTCTACTCTGCCCTATAGGGTTGCTGTGAGTTGGAATCGACTCGATGGCACTGGGTGTTTTTTGGGTTACATGATCAAAATAGAATGTTCTATCGCCAAGAAAAGAATGCTTCAGTTCTTGCAACTGAACTCATATAAAGGACTACTAAAACATAAAAGCACCAAGAAGTAATTGGGAAAGTAGTATGATTTAAAAATGAAGAAAGGGACTAGCAGAAATACTTCAAGTAATTTATCTAACTACTCATGGAATCTTAAAAGTGACACCATTACTACATAGCCCGAAAAACAGACTTGGGAGTGGACATCCAAGTTTAAACATACAGCCATTTCATGAGAGAATACAAAAATTTAAACATAAAAAGAAAAAGAAAAATCAAGAAGCCAGTATAATTAGTAGGGATATGGGGCTGAATGTGGGCTTTCTAGAGAACAAGGGAATGTAACGATCCTGCTTTTTTACATAAGTGGAATCAATGACACACAGAATCTCTCTAGAAAGATACACAGAAAAAAGGTAGCAATCATTGCCTTAGAGAGGAGAAAAATTATAGCTGGGGACAAGGTGGGAGGGAGACTTTTCACTATATTTTTTCTTACACACTTTTTGAGTTATTAACTTTTAAATAAAATGAATACATAAAATCCAGTAAACATTTATGGTGCATTTTTCTTCCTTCGAAGAGCTCATGTGGTATTTTTTACACAAAAAATACAGTAAAATCCAGTACTGGTATGGAAAATTAACTTTCAGAAACAAGCCTTATGTAGTATAACTAGTTGTGAATTTCTGAAGTTACCTGCCTATAACTCAGCATCCTCATCCATAAATTATGGTTGATAGGATCTCTAAGGTACCTGACAATACTTTTTGGACCTAAAATTCCATTCAAAGTGCATCTAGGACTGTCACCCTCTGTTTTTATTAATATTCTATTATTTTGTTAGTATTCAACATTGTGTGACTAGCAAATACTAACCCTGTGATATAGTATATATATAAATGAAGTTCAATTTGTTAGTTCAAAACTGTGTTTAAGTCCACCAGAAGTGAGAAAAAGCCACTAGAAGGAGGTAAATCAAACCAAACCCATTGCCGTCAAGTGGGTTCTGACTCATAGCAGCAACCCCGTAGGACAGAATAGAACTGCCCCACAGGGTTTCCAAGGAGCAGGTGGTGGATTCAAACTGCCAATCTTTTGGTTAGCAGCCATAGCTTTTAACCACTGTGCCACCAGGACTCCAGAAAAGAGGTAAAGGAGCTCCCTAAGTCTTAAAGGGGTAACTGCACTCAAACATTCAGCAACTATGCTGAAGAGAAAATAATTTGGAAAGAGATACAAACATAAATAACAAAAAAACTATAAACAAATATTGAACCCTAGTCAATGATGTGCACACTAAAATGTCACGGTGATAGGTACCGATATCTGCAACTTATTCTGAAAAGTATCAAAAAAAAAAAAGGAGATGACCAGATGGAAAGATAAAGCAAATGTTGCAAACTGTTATCTGGAGAATCTACGTGGTGAGTATGTGGGTGTTTACTGGGCACATCTTTCAACTTTTCTGTATGTTTGATAATATTCGTTATAAAATGTTGGGGCAGTACTTTCTTCAAAAGGTAAATGATGCAGAAATCTTACCCGAACACAGTCACCCAAGTGTCATCGAGGTGATCTTCTGATGTCAGAGAATCTCCTTGAGTATAAAAAGGATCCAACTGGGCAGGAGATAATGTAGTCTTTCGTGGTTGACCAATATTTGCTGGACTAAACATACTTTGTCCTACATTAGTATATTTAGTAAGTTAGTTACCAGTATAAGCACCCTGGTTTATTTTAAATCATAACTCTTAGTTTTAAATGAAAAAAGTACACAGTATAAAAATTTGGCAATTACATAAATAGTCCAAAATACACAACCGATCAAATAATAATTTCACACTACCACACAATCTAAGAGGAAGTCATTAATAAGTGGACATAGTTTATGATTTTGAAAAATTATTATTTTGTTATTTATCATAAATTTACTAAATGTTGTATTAACTTCTGGTTAAGCCTATGCCAGAACAATCTCCAGTCAACCTCACAGGTTTCTACTGGAATCATCTTCCAAATCTACCACTTCCATCATGGCCCCTTTGCCTAATAAACTTTCGATAACTCCTCATTACCCACAGAACAAAAATTCAAATGTCCTCCACAATACGGTTCCAAACTTATTTTTCCAGTATCCTCTAAACCGTATCTACCTAGTCTCTAAGATGTGGTTGCAGTTTTCCTTTATCCAGGTCATTTCTACCTAAAATGTCTGCTCCTGTTCTTTGTTTCTTCTCCTTCAATAATAGCGACCAATTAACTAGTGCTTACTACCTATCCAACACACCTTGCTAAACACTTTAGATGTTCATTTTATCTTAGAGGCACTACCACAGTGAAACTACATTTCTCAGAAGGAGAGGCTATTTTTCTTTCAACTTTGTAGCAATAATGATTCACTCATCAAGAAATTTTTTTTTTTAGGATTTAAATATGCACCAAGCATCAATTCTAGGTATTGAGGATACCACTGAACAAGTTAGATCAAAAAAAAAAAATCCCATCCCTCATGGAGCTTAAATTCTAGTGGAAGAGAGACAAATAACTAAATACTTAGTATGTTAGAAAACAGAAAATGCTATAGGAAAAAAATAATAATAAAGCAGAGATGGGAGATAGGGATAAGCTATGCACATGTATATTACTCTCTGCCATCAAGTCAATTCCGACTCATAGTGATCCTGACCCTACAGGACAGAGTAGAATGCCCCATATAGTTTCCAAGACTGTTATTTTTACAGAAGCAGACTGTCCCATCTTTTTCCCACAGAGCAGCTGGTGGGTTCGAACCGCTGACCTTTTGGTTAGCAGCCGAGCACTTAACCACTGTACCACAGGGCTCCTTATGTATGTGTACAAAGGGGTTAAATTTAAAAAAAGAAAAAAAAGATTTCACTGAGGTGCCATTAAAGCAAAAACCTAAAGGAGGTTGGAACAAAATATGCCAATATCTGCAGAAGTGCACATCAGGAAGAGAAAACCACAAGTACAAAGGCCTGAGAAAGAACAGACCTGCTGTTGGAAGTATGTGGGAAGAGGGTAGCAAGGAAGACACCGTTTGCACAGAGCATGGAGGATTTGAAGTCAGAGTAAGTAAGAGATGAGAGATGTTACCATAGAGAGGTAACAAAATGTCAGATCATAAAGGAAAGCCTGGTAAGCCACTGTAAAGACTTTGGCTTTTACTTCAAGTGAGTTGGGAAGCCACTGGAAGATTCTAAGTAAGGGTGGCACAACAGGACTTAAAAATCGTGAAAGGATAATGAAAGTTAGCATTTAAGTGCTTACTATTGTATCACTCTTTGCATGTGTAATTGTATTTAATCCTAACAACCGTATGAGATAGGTCCTATCAGTAGTTCCACTGAACAGAGCAAGGATAAACAGCATCCAGAAGGAAAGTTGGAATTCCAACCTAGGCAATCTGAATTCAAAGCATGAACTCTCAGGCAGTGGTCTAGTTAACACTTTTGTTTACTACAGCAGTGGTTCTACAAGTGTAGTCCAGAGACTCCTAGATCCTCCAGACCCTCTCACGGAATCAGCCAGGTCAAAATAATGTTCATAACAATATAAGGTTTCATTTGCCTTTTTCACTTTCATGGTCTCATGAACATACAGTGGACTTTCCCAGAGGCTACTTGATGTGATTCAGTAGATTCAGACTGAATGCAGAAGCAGATAGGAGAATTCAGCTATATTTTATTAAGACAATTAGAAGATCTGAAAAACAAAACAATGTTACTCTTCTCATAAAAATGTTTTCTTTCACAAATCAGTTATTTTTCCTTTTTTAAAAACAGTTGTATTTTCATTTAATTAAATACTTTAAAATTTTCACACTTTTAATTTCTAAAGCAGTAAAATATCAATAACTATAATCCACAGAAACAAAAGTTCTTTGACCTTCAAATTTTAAGAGTGTAGAGGGGGAACCCTGAAACTAAGAAGTTTGAGACTCACGTTTCAACAAGGCCTTGCAGATGATTAACACTCCTTTCTTACTAACTGATTTTCTGAAGGCTCTCTGCTCAACACATCTAACTATATGCTGCCTTGCCATTTGTCCTGAATTCCCACTGAGTCCAAAAATCACTCTTTAAGTCATTCTAAAGTGTTTATAGTCAAATGAATTTCTCAAAGCTAGTTTTTCAGATATAAGAGATTCTCTACAGAGGAAAAAAAACAGCTTCCCATTGTCCTTACGGGAGATTTACAATCCACATTAGCATATGTAAAACTCTTAGAGGTTATTCAATAAAGAAATACTTATAACTTCATTTAACTCAAAATTTCCTGTACTTACTCTTTACCCTGTAAAACACACATTTTGGTAAATGTTGATCTTGTGTCAAGTACTTCCGATATGCCTTATAAATGCCTGACTAACAGGAAGAATTACAGGAGCCAAGTCTATCAGGAAATAAATAATAAAGCCATTTATTCAAAATCAAAGCTGAAATGTAAAAAGGGTTACCTACCGAGTTCTAATTTCCTATTCGTGAATATAGAATGATTTCCTCAGAGCCACAGAAAAAGAAGCTATCTTAACAAATAAGCTATATGCAATAACCAGACACACTGACCCTACAGTGACACAGTTAACCCACCACAAGTAAGGACTGGAGAGTCAAGTTACTCTCAATGTTTTATTATAATTCTCAAAAGGTCAAAGTAAATCACAAAAAAAACTAGCCTGAACAGTCCCAAAAAAATTATTTTGGGGGATTATCTTATTCTAGTTCCTCATATTCCAACTGCTACTAAATTACAAAGAATAGTGAAAATATTTTTCATGTACAGGCAGGAAAAAAGCAGTACATCTTGCTTTTTGGAAGGCGATGTGCAATTGAGTTAGGAGCCCAGAACTGAAGAGCAGAAGATTAGTGTTGCTAGACCTGGGCCACTTACCTTGGTAGAGAGCATCATGTAGTAGGAAGACAGTAGCTTTGGTAGTCAGTTCACACTGCAATTCTATTACTTACTGTCAGAACTAGAATGAGTAACTGAACCTCACTTCTCAAACATTACCAGAAACCCTGGTGGCATAGTGGTTAACAGCTACAGCTGCTAACAGAAAGGTAGGCAGTTCGAATCCACCAGGCACTCCTTGAAACCCTATGGGGCAGTTCTACTCTGCCCTATAGGGTCGCTATGAGTCAAAACAGACTTGATGGCAGCGGGTTTTCTCAAATATTATAAGAAAAAAAAGGAAGAGGAAGGACAGTATAGATCATAATGATAGCCAGCATGTGTTGAGCACTTATACTATGTAAAAGGTGCTATTCCAGGTACTTTACATGTATTCATATTTAATCCTTCAAGCAATTTTTATGAGACAGAAATTACCATCTCCATTTTATATATGGAGGAAAGCAAAAAATGCATACACACAATCATAAAAAGCAACTGAAGCCTGATATTGAGGAATATGGTGATAAGAATCAGAAGACATACCTAAAAGAATCAAGAGCAGTTGCTTCTGGTATGGAATGGATCTGGGATTGCTTTGTATGTCTTATAGAAGTATCTGACTTTTATTATTTAATCTTTTTTTTCATTATTATTATGTTTTATAGAACTTTTGGCTTTCAAAATTGCGTTTATGCTTAATAAAAATAAAACTGACAATACAAAGCAAATAATTTAAAAGCATGCCATTAACTACAGACACACTGTAATATCTAACAATTATTCTTTTTCTCCATCACCACCTGTACCCGTTGCCGTCGATTCTGACTCATAGCTTACCCTACAGGACAGAGTAGAACTGCCCCATAGGGGTTTCCATGAAGCGGCTAGTGGATTCGAACTACCCACCTTTTGGTAAGCAGCTGAGCTCTTAATCACTGTGCCACCAGGGCTCCCCGATTACCACCAAAAAAAAAAAAAACCAACCAACCAACCAACCAAACAAACCCATTGCTGTCGAGTCAATTTTGACTCATAACGACCCGATAGGACAGCGCAGAACTGCCCTATAGGGTTTCACAGATGCATTTAATTGCTGTTGATTCCAACTCACGGCATCCCCACAAGTGCGGAGTAGAACTACTGTTCTGTATGGTTTTCAAGGCTGTGACCTTTTGGAAGCAGATCGCCAGGCCTGTCTTCCGAGGTACCTCTGGGTAGGTTCAAACCACCAACCTTTCAACTAGTAGTCGAGTGCTTAACCACCTGCGCCACCCAGGGTTCCAATGTATTTTAATAGGTTCAACTACTTCTAAAATAAGGCCAATTTAAAATGCAACATCCCACTTTGACAACTGCTGTGTTTTAAAATGATTTGTCTATATTTACTGGAAACTAACTTATCAACTATGCCTTTATGAAGGCAGCAGAAACACACATTTATACAAACAACACACTTACATAAAGTTACTTCTTACTACAAAGCCATGCCTTCAACACACCAAAGACAGTAAAAGGTATTTTATTATAAAATTTGAGGCCAGCTAAAAATTTTGTATTCTGTATTATCGTTAAGAAGATACAATTTAGTTATGCTACATCATGTAATAACCTTCAAGCAAGAAATTAAATAAAGGCTCAAACTGAGACAACCATTATGACCTTTAAAAATAAAACAAATCAAAATTAAGTCTCAAATGAAAAAGCAATCTAATTTTTGCCCTGTCAACTACTCTGAAAAATATAATTACTTACACATAATCTAAAACTATT